ATATATTATATAATAATATATAATAATATATAATAATATATAATAATGTAATGGACAGAATAAGCTTTGCTTCCAAGAATAATTAGTGTAGAAACTTTACTTATCTTTCCAAAGCAAGTCCACAAATCATTTTTGTCGATTTTTCAAGGTACAACTGTAAGCAAATAAGCTTCTACGTAATATTCCCTCTTTGCCTTAAAATTAATACTCACATACATGGTCAGTTTGGGCTGTAGAGATAAAACTTCAAGTGGTAACACAGTTTCGTGGATTTTATCATCTTTTCCTGATAAACTCTGGTTAGACAACATGACTGCCACTCGTATGTGCTAATGAGAGAATTGGCATGTGTAAACCTCCAGTTGTGCATCCAAACCATTTTCTAGGCTTGTTAGCCTCGAAAGAGAAAGCTTGGAAAATGTTATCTTTGAACTGTAAAATATTTTGATTCTGGTAACACTTGTGCCAGGCTGGACTTGTCACTCTTGCTGGATGAACTGTTATGAGAAAAAAAATAAGACTGACAGTCAACAAAAATATCTTTGCTTTTCAAATAATTACAATACCAATACCTATTTTTAGAAGAGGAAGAGGATATTACAGTCCTGTCTTTTTTTTCTGTAACACAGTTTATTAGTGGTATTAATGACTTAACCTTGGCTAATCTCATATTTAAATAGCTGTGATTAAGTTTGGCAGATAAACATCATACAATAACGGAATTGAGTAACTCTCTAGAAGAAGCTGTGAGGATTCTGATGGCCTCTTACAGAGCGTGAAGTGCCCCTTCTTGCTTTCAGACATCAGACAGATTTACCATGTACTGGATAATAATGGCTCCAGGGGGATCTTGCAGTCTTCCAGTACTTAAAGGGGGCCTACAGGAAAGCTGGAGAGGGGCTTTTGATAAGGATGTGTAGTGACAGAACAGGGGGCAATGGCTTTAAACTGAAAGAGGGGAGATTTAGATTGGAGATAAGGAAGAAATTCTTCTCTCTGAGGGTGGTGAGACACTGGAACAGGTTGCCCAGAGAAGCTGTGGCTGCCCCATCCCTGGCAGTGTTCAAGGCCAGGTTGGATGGGGCTTTGGGCAACCTGGTGTAGTGGAGGGTGTCCCTGCCCATGGCAGGGGGGTTGGAATGGGATGATTTTTGAGGTCCCTTCCAACCCAAACCATTCTGTGATTCTAATGTGAATCTGGGGCATTTCCACCTGGTACTGCAATTCTTTGATGTGGTGTGCTTTTCTCAGTAAAAGAAGGTGGAGTTTTAAAAACGTAGTTGTGAGAGTTTAATCTTCTGATTAGAAGTATGACACTGGTTTTAACTCAATTCTTAAAAAATAGTTTCCACTGTGTTTGGTGTTTATATGTTTCTGCTTTGGGGGGAACGAAGAGAGCTCTCCTCAGATACTCTTTCATGTGTACTGCGTCTCACTTGCATGGTGGGTAAAAGTAAGTTTGTTATTTAAAACAGCTTTAACAGCTCTGTCTTATAACTCTTTGACTGTTCACATCTCTCATCAAATTTTGTGTATGGACAGAGTTATTCTATGTTGAACTTTATTTCCTGGAAGCTTTTCTATTCTACCATTTTATAGGATGAAGCTCTGGAAAATGTCCTGCTTTCTGTATTTGAAAATTCTGGTGGTTTTATTTTTTTAAGCTTTAGAGTTGGGATTTGAATTTTGGCAGAGGCGTCTCTTTTGTCAGATGTAGTTCATGCATGAAAATTGGCAAACTTTGGGACAATAGTATGTATTTAAAATAACTTCATATGCATTTAAGAAGAGATTATATGAATTTAGGTGCTAATCTAAAGATTCCTGTCTCCCTAGGAATACTGTAGTGTATTAGTGAAAAAGTATTTTCCTTTCTTTCATTTTTGATCTGTTGTGTATCTTGGCTGAGGCATCTGAACTGAGAGCAGGGTTGAGCACTGAAAAATTATGAGCAAGATAGGATTGTGAAACTGTTCTCTAAATGAATATTGTTTATTGTGAGCTCTGCAAGAGGCAGAATTCCTCTTGAAAAAGGAAAATGGTCTGGGCTTATTTAACAGTGCAGCATATTAGACTGATAAATCATTTGGAGACTAAATCATTTTTATGAAGACAACCTTATTTCTGAAATTTTATTGTATCAATAGGTTCGATTTAGTCATGTCCTATGAAAATTATATATATAAAATGAAGGTGTGTGGCTGGGTAGTTTCAGATGCTTTTAGATGATTGATTTTTCTCCCAGTGCTGAAAGCTTTAGATTTGGTTTCCGACTGTGTTGACTTCCCATCCTCCTCCTCCTTTGTCCATCAAATCTGTGCCAGCTGGTATACTTTTGGTAATATTTTAAAAGGACTTGCTTTTCACTAGAAACTTTGTAACTAGCCCTATATTTCTTTCACTTGCCTCAAGTTAAAAACTCAACAGTCTACAACATAAGAAACCACAGTATTTTGTAATATCCTGGAGTAATTAGCACACCAGCTGATGGAGGAGGAGTTTAACTGTTCCACAGCTGGATTGTGTTTAAGTCAGAGGTAGCAGTGCTGCTTGACATGGAGAAAGAACTCAATACACATTTTTCTGGAAACTCTGGGAAGAAGGGCTAGCAGAGCTGCTATAGGTGAGAGAGAACAGCAGATCCCCCTCCAGCATTTCCACCATTCCATGGCCAGATTGAACGGGTCCAACATAAAGCTGCCCCTTCCCGGGGTGACCCCCTGGGCTGAAGGGCTCTAAAGGAAGGCTGGATCATGCTCCTGAAACTCAGGAGCACGCTGCCTCCTTTCCAGCTCATCTGCAGGACTTCTGAATTGGAAAGCTTGTGCTCCCGTTTCTCTTGGTGAGATTGGAACAGTAATAATCTGTCTCCCCCTTATCACAAGTCCGTTGATCTCTTCGAGGCAGAGACTTTCCTTCTTTGTTTATATGGTTCCTCAAACAATGGGGCTCTAATTTTTATTGTAACTTACAAGTGTTGTCTTAATAAGCGCAGTTTTAACAGGGAAAGGAGCGAATTCTCCTCTCAATTACAAACAATACACAATACCTTGCCCATAATTATTTTCAGGAAATAACAAAGAATTGGAGTTATTAATTATCACTCATCTTATAAAGGAGCATACGGAAACAAAGTCATTTCCTGGAGGCAGCTGGATTTGCTTTGCTCTGCTTTTTGTGCGTCAGCTTTCTTGTTGCAGCCTTCCAGTACCTAAAGGGGCTACAGGAAAGCTGGAGAGGGACTTTGGACAAAGGTGTGTAGTGACAGGACACGGGGCAATGGCTTTAAACAGAAAGAGGGGAGATTTAGATTGGATCTAAGGAAGAAATTCTTCCCTCTGAGAGTGGTGAGGCACTGGCACAGGTTGCCCAGAGAAGTTGTGGCTGCCCCATCCCTGGGAGTGTTCAAGGCCAGGTTGGATGGGGCTTTGAGCAACCTGGTGTAGTGGAAGGTGTCCCTGCCCATGGCATCATGGAACTGGATGATCTTTAAGATCCTTTCCAACCCAAACCATTCTGTGATTCTATGATTTAGTTAGACATTAAAAGCTTTGCTGTCAGGATGTCACAGTAATGTGAAGCTACTTACGGGACACTCACGGTGGTCACTGTCCATCAGAAATTTCTGATTTCACACCATCCTTTGTATTAATGCAGTAATACATATATACAATGCAGTAATTCTGCATTGTTTGCTTTTGCTGAATGCTTCTCTAGAGTTAGATGGCCATCTTCTTACAGCAGTTGGGTAAGCCTGCTCTGCTGTGACCTTTTAGTTGTGAATAGTTCATCATCACGTGCGAGGCACCAGCTTTTGCAAAAGGCACATTGATTCAAACCAGATTTAACTGAACTTTACTTGATTTAAACTGTTACTATAATTCAGGTAAACAGATTTCTGGAATAATTTAGGCAAAGATTTCTCAAAAGGTGCTACCAAGGCTTGAACTCCAAAATTCCATTGATTTTTTTCAGCTGATGCCAACTCCTGTAGCAGGTTTTCAAATAAATAGCCTTGTGTACAGATGTGAGTGAAAAGCTTGTTTGCAATATGCACAGAAGATTGACTGTCCCTTTGGAACCAGATGATTTGAATTAGTGCCTTTTTCACCAGCTCCGTGCAAAACCAGAGGGAAGCAGAAATTCCAAGGAGCGAAGCATCGCGCTGCTTCCCGCTCCAGCCATGGGGGGAAACTCAGGGCAGTTCTGCCGTGCGCATTCCTTCGGTGCCTGTGGAGGAGGAGGTCTGATGTCATGTTAGCCCTTTAGATGAGCCATTTTATCTTGGCATCATAGATATTGGAATGCCAATGCCAACCATTGCATGGTAGAAGCGTTACACTCTCTTACACAGCTTGAGCAATGTCAGAGATGATGGGAACATGATTGTCCTCTGAGTGATGGCTTCTTGTTCGGTGGACAAGGGATGCGACAGGCGGTCAGGCACGGTGTCATGAGTTAGGAGTGAGATGCTGTTGAGTGGAAACGCTGAAGACCTTTGACTAATATGCCATTTTTCCCCAGTTCCTCAGGCCAGGCGTGTGGTTTCAGCAGTGGATCATTTACGTTGCAACCTCCCAGCATAAGATCGATGGGTTTTGACTTACAACTGGTTTTCTTTTAAAAGTTTAAAATACGTATCTAATGTAAATGGAGGATTTCCCCAAAAGTTTTTAAAGTTTGTTCCTCTTTTCATGCAAGGTACTACTTTACAAACTGGCATGGGACTAGTGAAAACGAACCCTCGGTGTGGAGACATTCCCCAAGGAAGGCCAAGAACTCTTACGAGAAGAAGCTGGCACCAGAAGGCACCCCTATACTTGATGCAAGCTCATTAGAATACATCTTTGCACAGGTAAGAGGTTTCTTGCAAGTGTCTCTGCCATTGTAGTCACACAAAAACTCTTTGATCCAGTAGAAGATGCTTTAAAGACCTACTTTCAGTCTTCTAAAGTACATGTAACCTTCCCTGTTAGAATTGGTGTTTTTTCCACACTTCTGGGTGGTGGAGAGAAGAGAATTTGTTCCATGAAGAACAATCTACCCATATGTGAAGTGTGTAAAGAAACTGCCTATCTCACAGTCCAAAGAGGGCTATATTTTTATAGCATACTTTTTTTAATATTGATTATTTTTAGGTGTAAATGTTATCACCTTTTCTTTTGTGAAACATTTGCACATAACAGCTTTGACATCTGTAGTTCTATAGAGGCGCAGTAGCTGTATAAAAACTGACAGCAAATATTTTTTTCTGTGTAATTGAACTAATCATACTTGCTTTGTGTGAACATTCCTGTGTTCACATATGGAATTTTGCAAAATCACTGTTTGAAACCATGCTGCAAAACTGTGTTTTGTCCTTTTTTTTTTTTTCCTTTTTTTGAGTGCCAGTAAAAAGAATGAAAACACCTCTTAAGTTGAGTAGAGACCGTAGTGGATATTGTGAGAAAATGTTGCATTAAGCACAGTTTTTACTTTTGGGTAATAACGTTTAGAAAAAAGGCCAAACAGAAGAACATTAATGCTAATATAAGTCAACAAAAACATTTTTGCTCTATTTTTTCACATTGTCCCAGAGCCAGGTGGCTGCCACAGAGTTTGCAATCTTGGCTTTGAGATGTGGCTTAGAGACTGAGTGCATGAGGTTCATAGAGACACCAGGGGATGAAGGGCAGAGATAAAGCAGAGACAGAAAGTATTTATTGTGTAACAGAAAGAAAAAAATCATAATGGTGCTAGAAGGGGACAGGGATGGTGTTTTCTTTAGTTAATTACAGAGAAGGTGAATTTTTGGTGAGCTCATGTGTACAAGAAGGGGACAGGGGTTTTGGAAGTGTGAGAGCAGTGCTGACGTTCTACCTGGCTGTCTACACACGTTCTTGGTGAAAGCCACAACGCTGTGGACTGTACGTGGGATGGATGAGCTGTGACGATCCACGTGGTGATTCCACCTGTTCCACAAATTGTCATTTTAAAAGATTTCTGTCAGGCACAGATAACCTGGTAGCTTTCTTTTCGTGCTTCCTGTTCAGGGTCAGTATGACTTAGTGAAAGGCCTGGCACCAATCCGTGATCCTAAAAACGATCAAGAGGTTCATGAAATTGAAAACGAATGTCTGGGGATGGCTGTTCTTGCGATCTCTCACTATGCCATCAAGAAAGACATGAAGCTTCCGGAGCTTCCCAAAGATATCAGGTAAGCTGGAATACTCTGTCTCTGTTGGGTCTGCCGTGCTTCTCTTCCAGCAGAGATTTTAAGTGTTTTACCTGCCAGAGTCTGACTGTACAGGAGTTACAAGCCCAACACTGCTATCACTAAGTGGATCTTCCTAATCTTGTCAACAGGGATATGTATTAGAAAACCTGATTTTTTTTCTTACCTGGGGAGTATTTGAAATCCGTGCCACTAGTGCGCCCAGTGTACTGGGTACTACTGGTGTGTTGGGTGCCAATTGACTCGCTGTAAATTCAGGGTTCTGGGGCAGTAGGTTCAGAAATGGCAGTGATGTTAAGTGGCAGCCTAATGAGATAACTATTAGAATGGGTTGTGTTATTGATTTGAGTGGGCTGTATCCATCTGACTGAAAAGCTTTCAGACAAGGTTATAATTTGAATTTCTTCTGGCTATTAATGCTGTAAACCACTGGTACAGTACCAGCTGCACAGTGGTGTACTGCATCTTGCTCTCTCTAATTTCAAAGTCAGGCAGTTGTAGGTTTTGGAGACTGAGAAGTTTAGGACAACAGTATTAACTCATAGCATTGTTTTTCCTTCTAGTTATAAGCATTATATTCCTGAAACTTTGAACAAGACTATCAGACAGAGGAATTTCTTAACGAGGATTCGGATAAATAACGTTTTCAAGCATTTCCTTAAGGAGTTTAACAACAAAACCATTTGTGACAGTAGTGTGTCTCCACGTGATCTGAAAGTTAAATACTTATCAACAATGGAGACCTTGACTAAACATTTTGGAGCAGAAATCTTTGAGACTTCATTTTTGCTGATTTCATCTGAGAATGAAATAAATAGATCTAATTGTGGAGACAATGAGATCCTCCCACTATATGAAGTCATTGTAACAGGAAACAATGGAATTCAGTGGAGGCTCAAGCCAAAGGTAAGTATCTCTTGTTAAATGAGAATTAGAGGATTGCTTTTCAGGGCATAACAACTGTTAAAATATGGTCATAATCTTCCATGGCCGCAGATCAGCTTTTTATCACATCAGCTTTTTATTGAAAGAACTTCTTTCATAGGATTATAGGATTATGCAGGTCGGAAGGGACCTCAGGAGACCTGTAGTCCAGCCCCCTGTTCAGGGTCAGCTTTGAGATCAGACCAGGTTGCTCAGGGCTTTATCCATTCTGGTCTTGAAAACTTCCAAGGCTGGACACCACACAACCTCTGCGGGCAACCTGTTGACCAGGAAGATTCAGTGGGAAGATTAAAGACTGCACTATATCTGCCAGACCAGCTGCAAGTCTTGAAAGATTCATGTCTGTGGAGGCCTTTGCAGCTTGGTGCTCTGTCTTGAGATCAAAGTCTGTTAATGCTTTTTCTGTATATGGCACGCCAGGTGCGCTGCTTGCTTATACTCACAGACTTTTCATGAATAAATTCAAATATAGTGACGTTAAAGCTAAGCTTTCTCATGCCAGTGATAGATGTTGTTCCTTGTTTCAATGCTGCTGGTTAACCTCTTCTGTATTTTGTGTACATAAATATTAAACATGCTCTAGGTTTGAAGAGGTTATGGCACATTCTACAGTTTTTCTCCATGTATGATACTGGAACAAATAGACCTCTTTTTGCTTGCCTCAGTTCCCCGCAGTGATGACAACCCCACTGATAGCTATCTTTTGTAGCACAAAAAATGTTGTGCTTCACTCTGTTTAGAGGTAACCTAACTATCTCTATCTCTGATGGAGAATTTCTGTTTTGAATTATGATATTAATGGGCAGGAGGGAAGGAAGAACTGATACTTGAGCAGAAAACCTTGCAAGAAGCGCAGCCTGTTTCTTGTAAGGCTCCTGTTTCTGCTGATTTATAGATTATATTTATTTAAATGCCTAAACCAGAGACTTTAATCTCAGTGAGAACCTTTCTGTGATTAGCAGGAAGCTTTGCTCAGCCTGAACCTTTATCTTTTTTAAATAAGCAGTTTCTAATAATTTTCACTAATTTTTGACCTGTAAGATGCTCTGCTTCGTTGTGGTCTGCACGCAGAATTTCATCTGCTGTCAGCAGTTCAGGCATGGAGTGGGAGAAGAACGTGGCTCTTGCTTTTGGGGCTGAGCTCTGAGATGGTATTTCAAGTACATAATTTAGAAATTTCAGTAGAACACTTTCAGCCTTGTACTGCCCTTAAAGTTTTTCCAAGCATACTGAGAGAGAGGCAAGTTACCCAGCTAATGACTGGTTTCTTTTATCCTCGTGAAAACTTATGGACAGTTCTTGACTGAAGTATATCCTTGGAGTACAGACACACTGAACGTGCAAATGAATTGATAATTGGGTGCAAAAAGCATTCAAGAATAAAATAGCTGGATTAATTTGGCATGAATTTTTGTTTTAGCATAGAAACACTGTGCTAAAAAAGTATGTTTTTACTAGTATGCTTTTTATTCAAAATGTATTTGCAGTCTGTACAGACAGAGAAAGAGAAGAAGAAAAAGTCCGATGGCAAAACCAAGAAAGATGAAGAAAAACACAAAATTCGAGACTCGTGGAACAATTTTTCCTATTTTCCTGAAATCACCCATATTGTCATCAGGGAGTCTACAGTTAGCATTAACAAGCAGGATAACAAAAGGATGGTAAGAACCAAACCTTGGATAGGTTTCCCTCCCATGGGAAGCTGTAGTGACACAGTGTTGTTGGGCAACAGGTGACAACCTCCTTGAGGAACGTTTTCTAGTGAGACTTCTAAATAACAGTTGAAAGCACAGATGGAAAAGTGCTAGTTGGAAGAGCAGGAAGTTGGTGAGCACAGTTGTTTCTCTACACTCATTGCTGCATACGACCAGTGCCTGGTGGCCTCCTTGATACGCTTCTCAGCCTGTGGCCTTCCTCTCTGCAGCTTGGATGGCCAAAAGCAGCATCAGGAAAGAGGAGCTCAGCAAGGATGGCAGAGGGAGAGGAGATGAATGCAGAGATGGCCTGGGAGGGAGGAAGAGGAGAGTTGGTTTATAGATAACCAGTTGTTCTTGCTGTGGGCTGCCAGCTGCTAGAATTTGGAAACGGGCCACTAGAGTGCCCTTGGCTTCAAATCCAACAGGACTGCTTCACTCCTGAATTTCTGGCGTTTCACGAAGGCTGGCACAAGAGTTTGCCTTACAGCATGTAGGATTAGAGCAGAACGTAAGTCACGCTGGAGAATGAAAGTTTCTAGCCAGTGATGAGTGAGGAGGATAGAGGATGGTCAGTGGTGGCTTCCTAAATGTATGTGGTTTTCTGTCATAGCTTTCTGGACAATTTTTTAGCCGCTTTATTCAAAAATTGCTGAATATCAAAACATTCCTGAAATGTTTTAGCGGAACTGTAAGAATTCTTGACTAAAACATCCTTTTGTTTTAGGAATTAAAGCTGTCCTCACATGACGAGGCCCTGTCGTTTGCGTCGTTGGTAGATGGATACTTCAGACTTACAGCAGATGCCCACCACTATCTCTGCACGGATGTGGCTCCCCCGCTGATTGAGCACAACATAAAGAATGGATGCCACGGACCCATTTGGTTAGTAAAATGGTCCATTCTTATTTTTCCACTGGAGTAATTAGTTGTCTAATGTTACTGCATATTGTGATAGGACAAGGGGTAATGGTTTTAAAATAGAGGGAGGTAGATTCAGATTGGATATTAGGAAAAAATTTTTTACCATGAGAGTGGTAGAACACTGGAACAGGTTGCCCAGAGAGGTGGTGGATGCTCCATCCCTGGAGACGTTCAAGGCCAGGTTGGACGAGGCCCTGAGCAACCTGATCTAGTTGGAGATATCCCTGTTCCTTGCAGGGGGGTTGGACTAGATGACCTTTGAGGGTCCCTTCCAGCCCTAACCATTCTATGATTCTATGATATTGAATCCATTGAGGCAATCTGAGGTTTGGAAGGTGGTCAGTTAACAAAAGGTTGTAGAAAAACTTACTTTTTCTAGTGATTATATGGAAAAAAATATCACTAGTTCTCTCCACATCAACTTACTCATCTGTAAACCCAGCGTTTCGTCACTTTCAGAGTATTTTGAGGCTTACTTCACTGTGAAGATCATTGTGAGTTGAACAGATGGGAATATTTTAGGGAAACAGAGTTGAACTGTATCTACAGTGACACTGGGAGTCCTTGGATGGATGCACAAAGCCTTTTTTTTTTTTTTAATAGCTAAAGCAATGATTTTCCCTTCTGCCTACCGTTTTGGCTTTTCCTTTTAGGTTTGAAAATGTAATATATAGAAAACTGAGAGTTTATGTACGCACTGTGTTGGATGTGGAATTTCCCCATTCAGCATGGAAGAGCTTAGTCAAACTTTCCTCCCTTGCTCCGTGCAGCTAAATGCGAGCGCGTGGAATGCACACAACTAAATCATGTTTTAATAATAATATAAATATCTCTAAGTTGCTGTTCCACCTGTTCGTTCCAATACAGGATTATTCTCCTTTGTATTTACTAATAATAGATTTTGGATGCAACTGCTCATTTGTTGGTTTTCCTCACTTGCCCGTTGACTCTTCCAGCACGGAATACGCCATCAACAAACTGCGGCAGTTTGCAGGAATGTATGTGTTGAGGTGGAGCTGCACAAACTTCAACCACATTCTGATGACAGTGACTTGTTTCGAAAGCTCAGAGGTACGTCAGGTGTGGCATTCCCAGCAGTAGGCTGATAACGAGCTACCAGCTTCCTGTAATCCCTGTGGATACATTTATGTTCTTTAGGGCAGACACTCTTATCTTTGTTTGACAGCTGGTGCAGCAGAGGGTAGATATTCATAGCTTCATTTTCCCTGGACTCCTGTGCTATCTCTACAGATATGCTGTATCTACAAATATGATTCATTACATCGAGAACATTTCCCTTCATAGCAATAAAACTGTGCGTGAACACGATCGGAATTAAGGTTTTTACACTCATATGGCGTGAGAATGACTTACAGAATTTGTCACTATAGCTTACCTAATGTTTTTTGTGCGTGGATTTAATTATTTGAGCGTAGAAGCTGTGGCTGCCCCATCCCTGGAAGTGTTCAAGGCCAGATTGGATGAGGCTTTGGGCAACCTGGTGTAGTGGAGGGTGTCCCTGCCCATGGCAGGGGGGTTGGAACTGGATGATCTTTGAGGTCCCTTCCAACTCAAACCATTCCACAATTCTGTGATTTCTGCTGACACGCTGTAAAAGAATAGTGCATGAGGACAGTTGCCTTTACATGTAGAGCACCACGGAAGGGGACACATCCACAGTTAGCTGCTGGAACATACTCTGGGAAAGATGAGTGATAAGTAAAAGCTTGTGAGGTGGGATTAGGTGAGAGAACCAGTTAGAAGTAGAAAAGAAGAATGCAGTAATTGCACAGGAGTTTGAATTTTACTGGCCTCAGTTGGAAATCTTGCAGCAGACTTGCTAGTTTTGGGAAGATATTTAAAGCGTTCACACAAGAACAACAATAATAGCATGAAGGCATATAAACTGTTTTTCTTCTCCTAGAGAAAAATGTTAATAGAATCAATGATGAGGTCAAGGAGGGACATTTGGAACAAGAAGCAACAAAATGATGAAAAAAACCACTCTTGGAAGTAATAGTCATCTCTTAGCACTGATAAGTGATTCATCTTCTGTAGACATTTGGAAAAAAACTTTACGATCAACACTTTTCTACCGGACAGGGCAATCAAGGCGTTGAAACAAAAAATTAATTTTGTCTTGGAAATCATTCAAACTCATGGCGAGGCTTTGAGAGGAAGAAGAGGGGTGGTGTGAAGCTGCAGGGTGGTAGAGGTGAGGAAGCAGTAGAGGGTAGAACTCGAAAGGTCATGGGCTTGAGATGGGCAAGTACAGAAGTTCAGTCACTCTCCCGCAGTGTGATTGTATGAAACTGGGAGGTTTGAACAACAGCCTGAAATCTTGTTTCACTTGTTGAACAATCTGGGTTGTGAAAGGGAGTTCTGCTCTTTTTAAGTTGAGATTTTGAAACCATGGTCCAGATTCTGCAATTCTTGACCAAGTGAAGAGAGAATTCCTGC